GTTTGTGTTGCGTGAATTCAGGAAGATACAAAACCATGAAATTCATAATTCTCAAACAATAAATTTTAATCATTGTATGGTTATCTAGAAGGCCCATTGGCTTTCGTCAACTTGTATCACTTGTGGCGTAGATGGGATATCCGTCTTCCAACCAGATGATGATTTTACTGCGTGGCAGTTCCCTCCATCCAACTTTGTGGATGTGAAACATGGCCCTTAAGAATAGAGAGTATTCGTATGTTATCAGTTTTCAAAACATTGACCGTGTGTTTGGGATCATCGAACAACCATTATCTTGGTTAGGAATAGGTTACTAGGTAAGAATCGATTGATGAGGTAGTAAATCATCAACTTAGTTGGTTAAGACATGTGTTACGTATGCCGAACTACTACTTAGTGTTCTCTTGTTTTTATGCTTTCAAGCTAAGCTTATATAAATCGAAATGGTATAAATATCCGTTCTAAAAAAGATAGCTTTTCATGATACATCTAACAATTATTCTGATGCATACAACTTATATGTTAAAAGTATAAACTGCACAGGTGAATAAAGAAACTTAAAAGACCATTACAGTACTGGTCACGAAGTTCAAGCCATATCTTGTCAATTTCTTTATTTTTGATATAGCTAAGAAATTGATCGTTAGGTTTTCTTAATTTTTTCATACTTCCTATTAGTTTCATTATATTACGCTCCACTCCCTCTTTTAACAGGAGTGAACGAGAAATGAATGCTCAATTGAGGCGTGAGCAAGACTTAGCTTATGAGGCATCACTTGCTGAGGATCGAGCTAAAGTGGCTGCTCGAGAGGCACAGCAACGAAGTGCTGCTTTAGTAGCGGAACAGCTAGCCAAGGATGCAAAACGAAAGGAGGATCTAAAAAAAGCTCACATTAATCGCAAGCGTATATGGCAAAGTAGGTTACCACCACCACCTAAGTTTGAAGAGGGGTCTACAGTACAGTTATCATTCAAAATGCCACGTGGTTCCAGGGTTTCTCGCGTCTTCAACTTGAACGATTCTATCAAGGTAATTTCCAGTGATTTTTTACAAAATATTTCATTTTGGATAATACCGTATCAAGTTATTCATCTGTACACTCCATAACATTAATCTTTCTTTTCCAGCTGCTCTACTATTTTGTATTATCTCAGGATGATTCACCAACAGAATTCGAGGTGCAATCCAATTTTCCTAAACGTATTATACCATGTCAACCATTCGAAGAATCTGATGTGGAAGATTACATAGATACTCCTGACAATAAGATGGATTGTGATGAACCTGAAGTGATTACAGACTGGTCCCGTAAATGTCAGAATGATCCACCATCATTTTTTGATATTGATTTGACAAGGCCAGAAATGTTGTTTGTTCTCAACAAAGATGCATGATATGAAGTTTTGAGCTTCCTACCCTTCCAACACCAATGTAGCTATTTCTTTATGGATAAAGCTGTTCCATTGTTAAATAAGTTCATGTATTATGTTTTTGATGTAGTATTATGTCCTCCAAGTACGTACAATAATAATAGTAATATTATTATTATAAATGACTTGAGCAGTCAGGATTTCATTTCCTTATACAGTTATTCAAATGTATTTTTCTCCGATTATTTTATTCATACACTTATCATTTTGTTACTCTGGTCTCACATACAACATGACATATTTTGCTTGTAATAAGTCCCATTAGCATATAACATTCCTTATGCACAGTTGTGGTTTCTCATGAAGACAGACTCCCAACCGTTGACCTGTTGTAACATGTTTATCCGCTTCAATATTTTTGTGAGCTGTTTCGAGGTAATATTGAAGTTCACTTTTAGACACCATGTGATTACTTGTATGAAAAGTCTTTCCCCATGTATTTTTTTCAAACATGCACACGAATTTCGTGCAAATTAGTTCAACTGACAGTTTTTATTACTATAATGATGATAATCACTTGTATTTTATTTGTGTACAGTACAAGCATTGAATTGCTTTTATTTCTTATCCATCGACTTTTTGTAAAGTAGACTTCTACCTTTTGGTTTCAATTCATTCTATGTAAATGAGTACTTTATGGTAACCTGTCATTTAATCGTCAGTCGTTTCCCTTCATGCAGTCTTTATACGCAGTTTTCAAATCACTACCATTCTAGGATTTCAAAACGTGTTAATTAAGACATATCGTAGATAACATGTATAGTCACTTTGTATTGGTGAAATGAAATTCAACTTGTCTGTTTAGAACTGTTTTTTATAGTCATGCATTCTACGTTATTTTGCCAATATAACCTTGTTACGCGGAAATTAATAGTGTTAAACAGCAACCGAACCAGCCACCCATTTGCTTAATGTTTAATGCTTGAATCACTGACATCTGTTGAAGATTATCACTCATTCCTATGAGATCTGAGAATTGTTTCTTGTTTATTTAGCCACATTTAATTACGAGTCATATCTATAAGAAATGCGATGTAAATCAAAGTATCTTTCTTACTATCTGTTTAGGATAGTTAATTAACATTCCATTCCTAATATTAAACCTCATTTATTTGTAATAAAAAAGATAAGTATCATGGAAAGACACTTGTAAGTATAGCTGTAAGAGAAATCTAAATCATCAACATAACATGCACGACCTGCAGAAAAATTCACAGTAATTAACCATATCTTCGGAAACTCGTCAAATTAACGAGGGATTGAGATTTTGACAGCCAACTTCAGTAATGTAAGACGTGGGATAGAAGGTCGGTCGGCAACAACATAGAACTTCGTACGTACATACATCAGTTCGAGTTGCCATATCACATTAGCACAGAGATACAATTGTCGATTCAAATCCCATAGTGGTAGAGGTAGTAAAAGTATAAGCAGTAATCGGAAAGATTAGGACTTGAAAATGCTATTCAACAAGTATAATAAAATGAAATAAATCTGAAAAGAGGAAAAAAGGGACACGAAGGATTCAGAAGAATTTGGGAGAACACAAAGAGTGGATGCCCCTGCGCCATTGCAAATGATTTTGAGTAGTCATTCAGGGTCTTTAACCATCGGTTGCTATCATTTCGCGGTCCCCAACCAAGTAGTTTACACCTACCAACATGGCTCAGTCCACTTGTCCATGACTTCGAGAATTTATGCCATGTTTTGGTTTGGCCCCCCTTAACCTTCTTCCAACCTACTCCTACACCATAAAACATCGCACGCCGAGGCAGTCGGTGGTTGGGCATATGTAACACATGTCCCAGTCATCTCAACTGATGAAGTCTCACTACTTCATCAATTGGTTTGCCATCCTTACCTAGTACCCGTTTCCTAACAATTGCATTACTTACTCGGTGGTTCCAGGATATACGAGCAATACTTCCAAGACTCCTATGATCGAATACTAGGAGTTGGACGACTTATATCAACTTGTCATTCAGGTCGACTGAAGATCGTGGGAAACTGAAGTGTGGCTGGAGGCGAGTGCAACTGATCCCTAAAGTGGGATAGAAGAGGCAGTTGACGGGTAATGTTGAGAGTTGTGTCTTGTTGCTGACAACATGGAGTGATGTGAAATGGTCAACGATACTTATGCATCTAATCCGTTGTTGTTACACGTGCTGAAATTATTATATTGTATCCTGAAAGGAATGATGAATGGTCTCAATGCAAATACATACAAAACGTATGAAAAGTAAACATTTTTCTTTAAGTTACTCTTTCAGTTTCGATGTGATGATCCACGGTTCTGTTTATACCACACGTTAGCGGAGGGTTAAATAAGCTAAAAAGAACAAAGTTGAGTTTATTCTAGTGCAAAAAATGACTGAGTCCCACTAGTTGTAGCCAAATATGTATCATTTCTTAGGTGTAAACATAAGTTGTTCCTAGTGTGGAGTTAGCTTGCCTCTGCCGGCTTAGAGCTAGCTTTTCTGTGATGTTTTAGCTAAGTGCTAACGACGCTTAGACTAGTAAACTATACCGCATAAATGTTTGTAAGGGAGGCTGCAGCGATCGACATTTTAATCTTAATTAATCTATACCAAGAGATTTTATTTTCCGTAGTAATGTAGTTGGTGGGCACTTTGCTGTTATCGTTAGTCCCCTTCGGTAGCTAAAACTTCCGGAAACCTTTCATGTAGTTTTCAGCGTTGGGCTCGTTGCCACTGTTCAGTGAGATGTTTGATCATACAAATTGTTGGATTTTTTTCATACCTCCGACTTTCAGTTTGAGGATAACTAAGAATTTCATATACCCTTCCTTATCATCATTATAGAGCTTGGCACAAATGTGTGTTGCCTCAAGATGCCACGCCACAGTAGCACGAGATGAAAAGCGAGAAATCGAAGTAATGTCGTAGTAATTTTAATGAGACTAAAAACTGGATCGTTCAAAAAAGCAGCGGGAATATATGTACGGAGTGTTAGGATTGAAGATCAACAGAAAAATGGAGGGCACTATTTTGAGTGATCATCAGCTGTCTCTCCCAGTCTTCGAACACTGATCGCGTATATTACACAGACCCCACCCTGGTAGTCTGGAATTACTAACATGGCTTAGATCGACGATCAAGGACTTGTTTCCGTCTTTCTTAGCTTTTCAACCTCCTGCTACACTGGAAAGCATGGCTCGTCGATGTAGGGGGTAGTTAGACACCCATAGATTATATCCCAACCATCTCAGTCGGTGAAAATTTACAGATGAATGAACAGGTTTACCGCCTTAGTCTCAACATTGCTCATTTGTTCGTTTCACGATATGCGAGTAACAAGTCGAAGATATTTACAATAAATAACGTGCAGCCTGCATTGATTAATCTCACAAAAGCAATCAAGTTGAAAAAACAGAACTCCATAAATTGTATTTTTTATAAAAAAAACTAACAAAGTGCAATCTTTAAATTTAATAATAGGATTTTTCTGGCAACTTTTCACAAAGCAATAGTTATTAGTATTAAGGTGATCGGGAATGTATCAAAAATACAGCTAATATGAACATTTTGAAGCTGTGGTTTTTTGAAAAGTTATCGTCGCAGATTTCTTATGTCATCATCTAATTCACCAATTGAACTTTTTAAATATTCCCATTGTTCCAAATTAAGGGAAATTCCTGTGAACAAAATTTAAGGGTACATGATAAATAAGTAATCACACAATTTACCAAGAACAATTCTACGTACCCGACAATGAGAATGTTTTTTAAAGGTTAACATCCGGTTACCTGATCTAAATCTGTTATAACAGGCTTGAGTCTGCAAGATATGAGTCAACTTAAGGTCCATAAGTTATATGTTTGAACTTCATCTCAACTACAACAGTTTATGTACCCTTATTTCATCATTAGCTATCAGACAAGGGGTGGCTTAACGAAGGATATATAGACCAACACTGAATAAATGATTTATGTGCTGGTGAAACTTTGAACCATATTAGCCAGTCATAATTGATGTACGACCTGAAATAAGTATCCTTAGACCTCAACTGCCATTTCATATCGTTTTGCACCATTAATTGCGACTTAATCCATGGACTGTAAGCAGGAAGTCAGCACTTTTCTACGGGACTCAGACCACTAGCTGTGATGTGCCAATTTGAACTGACGCAAATGTATCAGGCTGCAAGTTTCATATAACTGACTGAGATCACTAATTAGTGATTTTTTTACACTGCATTAAGTTAAGCAATTACATATTGCAATAGCCTTATACGTAACAAAATCTGATATTTATAAAAAGCAAAGTGCATGTATCGATATGCTGAATTTACCGTTTAGTTTAATTTTTTACATGTATTTAGCCGCACATACATTGTATTTCTATAATTGGTAGGATGAGTTCGCTTACCTTTCTTTCCAGGTTTTAATTCTCCACTGGATTTGTCTTCATAGTATTCCCTTATATCGACAAACGCTTTTCCTCTGAACTCTCTTACGCACGCGAACTTTTTCCCAGTTAAGTCTATTAGCTGGTCTCCACCTGAAGTAGTCACGTGTGATGACTTTGTGGAGCCACTTGACTTGTTAGGTTTTTTAGTTACAACAGGCTAAAAGTACAATAAATAATGTATAAAAATACCTCCTCGAGATCTGAGAGGGAAGAATCAGATGATTCATCTTTTGTGTTGGATTTGCGTTTGTTAGACATGACAGGTGATCCCTTTAAGGATTGGGTAAGATGCACCTGCTGAGAGATGGCAGGGGTGCAGTGATTGAAGCACTGAGTTGAAGAACTTGAAAAAATCCGGTTATCTGTAAATATAAATCACAAGAAACATTTGAAATAATGAAAAACACTGAAGTTTGGTTACTTACTTGAGATCTATTTATCACTAGTTTGAATTCGAATATACTTATAGATTCAGCCAACCAGATGTTACGTTACCTTCTGTCTAGAAATGGTGGTTCAAATTTTTTTTATTTTAATCGACAATGGTTTTTTAGTTGGGTTAATTCGTAGAAATGTGAGCACTCTTCACGATTATACTTTTGGTTGCAAGAAAGAATCTAAACAAGTAGTTTTTATGAATGTCTTTATAAAACATCGCTTCACCGGTAATCCTACATACTGCTGATAGATAGTGGGTCAGGTACTCTCATCAGCTAAACTACATTTCAATTAGTCAAACATTTGTGTTCATTATGTATTCGGCCAGAATGTATGACTGAGATGTTTATGCAACATCTGGTCACTTTACTACAGAATACACAAAGTCATTTAAACGGTGTGTTATTATTGACTCGTTCGATCAAGACAAATGATGGTAGTTATATCAATAACCAATTTGGAGAAAAATTACAGAAATCTGGGGTATTAAATTCTTGAGGAGTAAGTTTGGTAAACCTTGAAATTAAATGGGATGAATCCTGTCTAAATGATAGTAAGAACCAAAACACAAGTTTTGTACATAACGGACTGCGTGTTTTATCTATCTATTAAAGCCTTCTGTACAATAGAAGCGCACACACCACACTTGGTAATTTTGACACGAAAGTTTCCAGATGAGACTTGTGAACCAGAAATATCAATTTTCCAGGTTACTCTTAGGCTACTCATTACCATGTACCGTTAATCGAAACTTCTCATTAATGCACCTAATGAAACATTTGCAGACGTGAAACAACCCAATATTTGCTGACAATACTTTGCCTCTTCTAAATTAAATGCACTCAATAAATAATAACTTCGTACTAAACCAGGGGTTATATCAATCGAGCATTTTAAAATCTACATTAAGTTAAATCTGTAACAATGATAGATACTGATAAAAGCGAGCTGAGTCTGCTTGTTGTCATTATTACATACCATCTTACAACCGCTAAAATTAAGCCTGAATTTGCGCCCCCAAATGCCTTGGTACGGCCGAAGATGGGGAAAGTCAGCTCTCGCTCTCGAAGTGTTCTCACATGGTGACGCGTATAGTAACCGCTAGGGAAGCCCAATTCACTACCTTCTCGGGGCAGAGGTGTTGTTTACGAAACTGAAAGGACAAAAAGCGAATGCCCAGAGCTTTAATCGCGTTGATGGATATGGATGATTCACCTAAGGGAGTTAAGAAATCCTGATTCCAAAAAATGGTGCACATAGGCCCCAAGATCCTGAGGGAACAAATGGCGTACGAAACAATTATTGGTCACCGGTTACCATGTGACTGCATCTCCTGACGTAGCTCCACTGCCTCGTGGATCAGATCCTTGGGTCGAAGGCTCCGGGTGTGGTACCCTAAGAAAACCACCTGTTTTGGTCTGACCACTCGAGCAGTATCGCAGCCCACACATAAATCACATGACTTGTGCATTCAGAGCCTTTGTACCAATATTTATGTGTTCCAATCAATAAATAAGTCTGGAATTACAGCAAAATATGGATAAGCAGCGACCTCAAAACTACGAGCAACTGCAAGGCTGCTGCGGCCAAAAGCTTTAGAGTATTATGGGACATTAATAGGTCTTCTCAGCACTTGGACGAAGTGCTTGGAGTATTATACCCGACTTTCATGGGCCACGTTTGGAATATGGGATTCAGGCAGCAAGTCTGCTTCAAGAATGAGGTGGATATGCTGGAACGAGTCCAACGACGAGGGACCATAACCGCAAGAGGTCTCTCCAGCCTATCTTACGGAGAAAGACCGAGACACCTCAACTTATTTTCGTTACGGTACCGCATACTGAGCGATGACCTTGGCAATAATATGTATTATCTTTTCCTTCTGTCTAGGACTGATTATTACAGAGGAAATTCTAAGAAAGTTCGAAAAACCGAGATCAAATCGTTTATGTTTGGAGTTCCGTTTCTCGCACTGAGTAACTAGAATTCTCTGCCAGGACAAGTAACATCAGCACCTTCTGTTGATATATCCAAAGTGAGATTTTTATACTGTGTAAATAATCTCCCAAGTATAGTACAGTCTCCAATGTTATTATACGCTGACGATGTTAAAATCTGGAGAAATAACCAGAGACGCAGACGCATGCGCACTTCAGGCATACTTAGATAATATGATTAACTGGTCTAAAGAGTGGCTGAGGCTTATCGACGCAGCAAAGTGTGTCTACATGTAGTTTGGGGATACAAAAGTTAATGGGTACAGCATAGGGGAAGTGCCAGTACCAGTTGTCCGGCCTCAGAAGGATCTTGGGGTGGCAGTGATTCATGATCTTAAGACGACGGCCTAATGCTGGGAGGTCGCAGCTACGGGGTTTAGGGCCCACTATGCTTTAAAACGGACATTCACTAAGTTAGATACTACTGCAGTATACACAACCTTGGTGAGAACTAAGTTTGAGAAATGCGTTCAGGCTGTAAGCCCCTGTTTAAAAGGTGACTAGGATATCCTGGAAAAAGTACAGAGCGCAGCTGCCCGTGCAATTCCAGAATTCTGGGGTTTACCATACAGAGTGGCTGGAAAAGCTGAACCTCTTTACTCTGTCCTATCGCAGACTGAGGGGAGGTCTAATTTTGATCTACAGAATACTGAGAAATGATTTTGAACCTAACGTATCCTCTTTTTTCTTCCCACTAGATCGGGACATCTTAGAGGACATAGCATGCGAGTAGAAAAGTCAAGAACATACAAAATACCCGTGGCATACAAGCTTTCACACTGAGTCATCAATACTTGGAACCTGTTACCCGAATCAGTGGTGTCCGCACCTTCAATTAACTCACTCAAGAGAAGACTGGACACTCACAGAAGCATACTAGCAAAGGAATAACACAAGCCATAGGCCCTTTGTCCTTATTACACAAATCTGAATCTGGACCGCTACATTGTTACAAACTGCAAGGATTAGTATAGGTCGATAGACCTATTATGTTTACTGCTGAAGATTGAGGTATTTTCACCGCACAAACCCAATCTCTTAATTTTGGGCAAGCTGCTGTAGAAATTTCCGGGTAAATGGTACGAAAACCCCGAAATTTCCTCAAATCTGAGGAAATCCCTCGATATTTCCCCTAAACCTTGGTGAAGGTCACTTGACTTTGGGGGATTCCCCAAAATTTCCCCAGACTTGGGAGATTAGGATAAAGATAAATTAGACGATGTCTAGGCATTGTAGAAACTTTGGTCTGGTAAATAATCAGTCCACCGAATAATATAAAAAACAGCACACGGATGACGCGCGCAGATGTCTCGTTTGCGACAAACCTCCCGAGTAAATCGGCAGCACGGGACGACAAAAACCCCACCCACTCAAAGCTACCCGCCGTTTTGTTCAGTCTTCAGTCTTCACTTGTTCGGGTAGGGCGTTCCGGCCATTGACTACTCGATGGGAAACATGGGACGCCACTTTAAGTTTGTTAGATCGCGCTTTATGGACTTCCTTGCTATGATCTTGGAGATTATTAGTGCTAGAGGGAGTAGAAAGATAAGACATATTAACACCCAAATGATAGTTAAAGATACGAAATGCCAGTATAAGGTCACCTCGAGTCTTACGATACGACAACGGAAAAGGTTTAAGCGTTTTGAGTGCCCATCGTAAGGGAGTTTAGACTGACCCTTCACTAGTTTTATTCCCACACTCTGGACACGCTCAAGTGAGTTAGTATCCTATACCAGACATGGGCTAGCTGCTTATATACAATACTCTGAAAGTAGTCTTACATATGTGTGATATAAAATTCGAAGCATTTCCTCGTCAAAGCATTTGAATACTCGACGAAGTGACCATAATGCATGAAAACCTTTGGCAGGAGCTGCGTTGCAATGCGTAGTTGTTTTCAAGTACTTACTTACTTACTTACTTACTTACTTACTTACTTACTTACTTACTTACTTACTTACTTACTTACTTACTTACTTACTTACTTACTTACTTACGCCTGTTACTCCCAATGGAGCATAGGCCGCCGACCAGCATTCTCCAACCCACTCTGTCCTGGGCCTTCTTTTCTAGTTCCATCCAATTCTTGTTCATTTTTCTCATGTCTATCTCCATTTCTCGGCGTAATGTGTTCTTTGGTCTTCCTCTTTTCCTTTGGCCTTCAGGATTCCATGTGAGGGCTTGTCTTGTGACGCAGTTCGGTGCTTTCCTCAATGTGTGTCCTATCCACTTCCAGCGCTTCTTCCTGATTTCTTCCTCCGCTGGGATCTGGTTTGTTCTCTCCCACAGTACGTTGTTGCTGCTAGTGTCCGGCCAACGGATTTGAAGTATTTTGCGTAGACAACTGTTAATAAACACCTGTATTTTCTGGATGATGGCTTTCGTAGTTCTCCAGGTTTCTGCCCCATACAGTAGAACTGTCTTGACATTTGTATTGAAAATCCTGACCTTGGTGTTGGTTGACAGTTGCTTTGAGTTCCAGATGTTCCTCAGTTGTAAATATGCTGCTCTTGCTTTGCCGATCCGCGCCTTCACATCTGCATCAGATCCACCCTGTTCATCAATGATGCTGCCCAAATACGTAAAGGTTTTTACATCTTCCAAATCTTCTCCGTCAATTGTGATTGGATTGGTGCATTCTGTGTTGTATCGGAGAATCCTGCTTTTCCCTTTGTGTATATTGAGACCTACTGCTGCTGAGGCTGCTGCCACACTGTTCGTCTTCTCCTGCATCTGTTGTTGCGTTTGGGATAGAAGGGCCAGATCATCTGCGAAGTCTAGATCGTCCAACTGCATCCTAGATGTCCATTGTATCCCGTG